AGGGTGAAGTGGAAACATTTAAGCACTTTCTCGTCCACTGTCCAGCCTCTGCATGACTTCGGCGAAGCAGAAGGCATAGCCGAAACCGACATTAACCGTCTCAACAACTTTTTAAACGGCTTAAAGTGCTTTGCCGATTTGTAAGGGTCTTGTGATCTATTATACAGGAGTTTTAGGTACCGCAACGGAGCGGCATCTAAGCTGTCTAGGTGAGATTCCTGTTAGTCTCGACCTCTTAAAATAACCTAATCTAATGTTAACAGAGTCCAGTGCATTAGAATGCATATTTAGTATAGGATTCTAATATATTGTATTCCATTATTATTACAATGGTTAGGTGAGATCATTCGTAAAAGCTCATGCGTCCCCTTGCTCTATAATAAATTACACTTATTTATATACACAAAAGAGAATATATATGTATATGTACTTACATACATATCTCTCTCCAGTCGCTCGTGTCCTACCACTTGTAGCTAAGTTTGTAGGTTGGTTAGCAACGTTTCACCTTTAGCCCTCATTGTAACACACATCCTTGGCGCTCAGCCATTGCACAATGTGCGCAAGCCGGGTAATTAATGTTGCATGACGCATGAGAAAAGAAAATTGCAACGCAGATAGCACTTTTCCACGTATTTTTCCACGTTTTAAGAATATTTTTTCCATCTTTGCTTGTTCACTTTTCATTTTCATCATTTTGCAGTGGAAGTTTTATGGCAATTATTATTTTTTAAATGGAAATTTTTTGCCTTCAAGTTTTTAATACCATTTCATGTGATTTTATGGTTTGCCTCATTGTTGTGGTTTTATTTTGGTTGGCTTGCCTTCTGGAAATGTAGTCTACATTATTGAGGAGGCTTATGGGGGCTTATGCATGTTCGGTTAAGCTTTTAATGGGAAGAGGTAGTTCTGAGACAGTCGATGGTTTCATAATCGAAATACCTATTATTTACCGTAGAGAATTTCATGACAATTACAATTGTCACCAGTGCAAGTGACACCAAATGGCTTGGTTTCCAAATGGAACAAAAATATAGAACTCATCAGGATACTGAAGCATTTACTAGATACAGAGAAATTTTTATAATTGAACAATTTTCGGATGGGCACAAGGCGAATTCAATTCAGATCGGTTCTTAATTATTCATAATTTCAGTCATTGGACTCTCTCAGCGCTTGCAATTGATTCTCGAATGTAGATTATATTTAGACCATCTGATAGATATCATATTTCAATATAATTTTTTGTATCTATGAATCATTTCGATTCTATCACAAATCTCCTACGACGACTAATTTCATAAGATAAGGTAGTGGTAGTGTTCTATAAGAGGAAACTATACGTAAGTGATTTATTGATTTCCGCACAGCACATATGAATACCGAAAATAATAAACTTAGTGAACGTCAAAATATCTTACTACGGACAAAAATTTCAAATAAGCCAGAAAATTGTTTTAAGGGATCGTAGCATGGGTTGACCACGAAAACTGACACTTTAGAGATATCAATGGAAAGAGACTAAAGTATCACGAACCAATAAAAATGATACCAAAATTTGCATTTCGAACCGCTGCCGCATCCACCGAATTTGGAAACAATGAAGAGGATTTCCCAAAGACTGAAGCCCATTTTGTACCAAAAGCTCAATCGTGAAACAAAAATTTGTCGGAAAATTTTAAATATATTACAATCGGTGTATAATCTATGCTAAACTATATTGTTTAAAAAGTTTCGAACTTTTCAGCAATCAAAGGAAAGATGACAGTAAAAGTGATAACCAAGGTTGAAGCACCTCTTAGTTTTGCAGAAGATGAGAAGTCGAAAGACAATTGCTGAAATGATTTTATCTCGTGGATATATTTTTTTTAGCGTTACTGTTATGGTGGCAATAAGACAGTGACTTAAAATTAAAACAAAACTGAGCTGCCCAGAATAAAATGCGTTCACGGAGTTGCAAATTGTTTGTAGTGATTTACGTCATTCTCTAGGTTTCAACTTTTCTACCATACCGAAATGCTGGATGTAAAGAAATAGTGCGCTGTTAAGAATTTCGGTCAAATGGAGTAGTTGTGAAGACACTACTTCCAAAAGGTCTTCTGAAATAAGAATGGACTTAAGCAATTTGGGTATACTTTTTTCGCAATAGAGTTTTAGAGTTGATTTTATTTCAAGAACTTTAGCACAGCGCAAAGCCGAGAATATAGGTAAAGAAACTGGAGAATCCTGTTACCATATTTGCTGTCATAAAAAACAAGTTATTTTATAATGGCACAGATCTCAGAAAACTCTTACAACCAAAGATTTACCGATGCCATTTTTAATGTTCGGCAGATGTTAACAAGTACAAGTTGGCTAAATAAGCTATGCTATTTAAAAGGGTCTTCAAGAGCTGGTCACTCATTCTTGTAGTTGTAGAGACGTCTACACTGCTGTTAAAAAAGTTACTGGTTACGATTTTTTTTTGCAATAAATCGAGTCACCACTTTTTGTGCTGAGTTCGGACAAATATCACTTAACCGGTAAGACGCCAAACCAAAAAGAAGAAGAGAAAAATTCTTTGGTTATCATCACCGTATTTTATCGCATCAATCAGTTAGCACTTCAGTTCATCACAGCAGAAGTAATTTTAAAATTAAATGTGTATCGATCATAATTAACACTTTTCATAACTATAATGGAAAAATTAACGGTAAAACTTTTACTTAACTCGTTAAACACACAAAACTTCGTTGGCATATACATCAGTATTAAATAAACGCGAAAAAATTTTACAACCTAAGTATCTGTTGTACACAACAACAACAACAATATGCCAAGCATTACTTTACCGCCCAACCAACTCTTCCGGCGACGCAATACAGTTGACACAAGTATGCGCCATCTTCAGTAACTCATTTATTTCACTTTTAAATATGTCCCCTGACTGAACGTTCGACATTTCCCGGCGTAAACTTATTAATATTAATGATTAATTTTGTACATCCTTCGGCATCATTGCACCGGGGAGCATTTATAGGAGACGACGGCGGACGGAGGGCAACGCTCAGCTGCGTGAGCGCGCAATTTTGCACAAATATATATCATGCATGTAAATGTTAAGGTGTAGATGTGTGTGTGTTGGGTATTTATTGCTTCATCAGCTGCTGCTGTGCATCGTCTCAACGAGCTGGCGCCGTATTTGCCGCGGCGCGTTTTACGCTTTTTCATAATTAAGCTTATTAAGCTCATTTAATTGCTCTTGGCGTACAATTATTGATTGTATATATTAATTGCTAAGCGCCACAAACGAGCGTGTACCTCGGATACATTTTGTACCGTTAGTTATTTACAATGATTTGTTTGCTGGTATTAGAGAAAGGCTTAATAAACATATGTATTTATTTGTAAATTTGTTTAAAACGTTTTTCTAAGTATTTATTGTGTTACTTGGCAAGCATTCTTCAGCGGAGATTTTGGCAAAATTTCAATATCGAATTTTTGAAAAATATGTTTCCATGTCTAAAAGTTCGAAAAATGTTGATATCACACATCTTCCTTTCAGACAAAAAAACACGCATAGAGTCCTTTGGCCTAACAATGAAAATAATATTTTTTTTAAAATAGAAATATGGCTTTAATATTCTAAAGTAATGTAATTTTTGTAACTGTCCTCCAACCTTTCGATACCGGTACGTTGGTGTGAAGCTTCGAAGTCTTCAAAATACTCATTTGTTTGACATAAGGTTTTGTGTGAAATCTTATTCCAGCGAGTCAAATTATAAGACTTCTAAAGAGAAAATAGTCGCTGTGGGTTAATTGCTCCCAGATGACAGCCAAATCTGGCGAATTCGGTGGGCAGAAACTTTCAGTGAGGTACAGAATTATTGCAATGCAAATGCAAATCAGTTGGTGTTTATGTGTGCCGTAGGAATAAAATATTTTCCAATTTTTTAGAATAAATTACATTTAATGACAATTTCTAAAATTTTTAATATAGGTTTTTTATATGAAAAATTTCATTACAAGATGAGTAAGGCGAACAAAATTTTGTGGTTGATCCAAAAGTTTTACATTTCTGCTGTTAAAATAAACTATTTTCAAAGCTTCATAATATAAACCAGAAAAAAGCGACGTAATATATATTGGGACGAGAAAAAGTGTACTACTCATTAGCCTATCCGCTTTGGCACACCATCATTTGCCAGTTTACAACTTTGTTAAGTTTACTCTCTTACCTCATATATACTCTACTCTATACTATACTCATATACCATTTCCTCTTCTTTATTTGAAACGTCCATACTTACTCCATTACTCCATATATATTGGTGATGGTACATTAATGAAACTTGGAAAGCATCTTCTATTCCCTGCCTTGATCCTTGCAAGTTGCAAGCGTATGAAATGTACGATTACAATCGAAATTAGCCCTTCTTTACTTGTTCAAATTTGCTTGTGTGATTACTTGCAGACAAATCACAATCATATATTATGTGTATTTTCTGTATATAGTTCGCCGTAAAATGGCCTACCAGTGGTTGGATCTGATCAAAAAACGAATTTAAGCAGGTAAAAAACGACCGAAAGTTGGTGAAAACGCTTTTTTTAAGCGCCGCCATTTTGTGAATTTTCGAATTCTTTTCGATCGCAGGTCATTGTACAAACAACATCTTCTAACGATATTTTGTTTGGTTTCGCCCATGGAAATCACTGTAGCAGTTTTTTTGCACCATAGGAGTTTGCGTGTATCTCGAAAAGTATTTAATATTTTTCTTCAAAAATTATACTCTGCAAATTTATATGGCTGCAAATATATATGGCTTAAATATACCCCAAATATACCCTTATATATATACATATATGTATTTGATTTGTTCCTACAGATCTACATACAATAACTCAGGAGCATTTATAAATTATATTTTATTACTTCTTGTCCTTTTTTGCGAAAGAACACAACTTTATTTGCTATGATATATTAACTAATAAGCAATAATCATTTTCTTATCTCTTTCTAGGTACGTATGGATTCATGATGTTTTCGACGATATTCCTGTAAATAAGTATACTTAATGAAACACGCTCTGCGAAAAGTTCAGGTAATTTATTATTCATTTTATTATGTTATCACTTAACATACATATGTATTGTACTTCCACTTACATATATGGTAATATGTGATTTCGGGAATTTATGTTTTTCACACAGTAATGCAAAAAATAAACTCGATATTCTTTCCAAATTAAGACCTTAAATATATTATATATGAAGTACTTCCTAGTGTCCTATACTTCCTAGTGTTCGATATTTTCAGCTAAATACTCGTCCAATGATATATTCCGATAGCGCAGATCATTTTTCTGGTTGAATTGAAATTTGTATGAACTTATCTGATGTACCTCAATGCTTTCTCTTCAAACTTTTTTAAATCACCGAAAAAAAATGTTAATGAGTGAAACAATGACAGTAAACAATTACTCAGCATCCGATTGCCTTTGAACAAAGTAATGAAAACAAAGAATTTGCACAAAGCCAACGAGCGCATGCCGACAATGAAAGACCGAACCAATTTAGGCTCAAAGAGCATAGCACAAATGTGCAAATTTTGACTGCATAATAGCATATAGTAGGGAACATAGTAAACGAAAACAATGGGAGGCATTTAGGGAGAATACAAAGTGGGCCCACCGGCTGATGTAAATGTGAGCCTACATGTGTTTCGGTCAATGCTTTCATTAACGCACTCACTTCGGCGCCAAGAATAGTTTTGGATTGCATATCCCCAACTGCGGGTGAGTGGCGTCAGTGAATCGTTTAGGTTCAGGCTGGCTGGCAGTTAGCTTCAATTAGAAAGTGCATATTGGCCGCTTCCCGGCATATGTCCATACAAATGTACTCAAAGCTTATGAATGGACGAATGATAATTACCATATGGCTTTTGGTGCTCGCAAACGCGGGTGATTTTCGCTGTGGGAGTGAAAATAGTATTCTCGAGAACCATTCATGTGGCATCATGGCTGGTGCTTTTGAATTGTTCGTTTTGGATTGTACAATATCCTGGCTTCCCTATTCTCTTAGTTTCTGTTGTGAACTGGTTGCAGAAAATTACTGTCACTTTAAAATTGAATAAATCTGTTGAAGGGATCTTTCATATGGAGTTGGAAGATGTGCATAGATCATTGCAAAATTATCTGGCAACCAATCACAATTAGTATTACTTCTTAGGCGCCTAAATGAAAATAATTTTTTGGAAGCGGAAATATATATATATTTCCATTTTATCCTTATATAGCCCCGTGAGTGTGGATATGTGACTTTAGCTGTGAAAATATTTTCCGCGAAAGTACTCTGAAATGTCAATTAATCAACAGTAATTCCTTCTCAGCTCACTATCACACAATAATTTCTTTTGCTTGTTTCATTACTTATACTGTGTATACAAAAATATATAATATACATAAGTGCATAAGATAATATAAATACATACATATATATGTAACTCATGAAATATGTGTTGAACCATTTAAACGACGAATAATATCCAAGCAACACAACTAGAGCTCATTATTTTGAAATTTTAGAAGTTTTCAGTCAACGAAACGCAAATGTCAAGAGGGGCTTGTCGACATGTTTAATGTGATACGCTCCCGTGTGAAGAGTATATGGTATCCTGCTGGAAAATGCTAGTTACTTGCAGGCAGACATATTTCTGGTTAAAAACATGTGCATTTCCGGATGAAATGTAGACAGCATTAAGAAAAGTAACGAAGTAAAGCAACTAAGAAAGGGTTAAGTTCTGTTGTAACCAACTTCATAACTCAAAAATAATTCTACATTGGATAACATGCAGAAGAAGTAGCATCGAAGCTGCAAGTGTTGAAAATAATGTTAAATCCTTAACTAATCTATCGATATAGACAATCACAACTACAATACATAGGTACAGTTTTTAGCATTAAATCATATGCTTACATGTACGAGATAAAAAGCACTGAATAGGCCGCTCAGAAAATCAATGAGAGAAGAAAATATTCGATTTAAAATATTAAATATTAAAAAAATTAGGTATACAATTCTGTTGAAGGCATTAATACTTGTAGAACATCATAATATAAATGAAGCTTACTAATGTTTTATATTCAATAAAAGCATTTATGTTGGCGTTCAAAAGTACCGTATCGTACTAACTAACAGCTGTTTAACAGATTCACACTGCTAACAAATCCAACACATACGCATATTGATAGCGCTTTATTCTTTTGTGATGAAACTTTTGTTTCAAAAGCTAAATAACATTTAAGTAATCCGTTTTGTTTTTAATACCTTTCATACCTGCCGTCTCTTATTTTGAAGTCTTAAATTAATCAAATAAATAGTTAAATACACTCTATTTAAAAAAAGATTTTATACTTGCAATTCTCCGCTGTTAGCAAACATTCTCGAAATTCTGTGAAGCGAAACTTGGTTGTATTAAAGAGAGCAGTTTTACAACTACACTCTCTGAGTCATTCACATGCTCCTTTGTATCGAACTTAACTATTATTTTTTGACATGAGAGTTGTTAAAATTTCATCGGCATTTTAGTGAAACTTCGAACAGATATCTCAAGTGGTTCATTTAACGAACACAGATATTTGTTATCTATTGTAGGAATATTCTCTCTCAGCGTAGTACAGAATGTTATACAAATATATAAACATTCCCTAATTAATAAGAAGATGAGAATTAAATATGTTAAGGTGTAACGATGTGCTTCTATTGTCTAGAATAAAAAAATTTAATATTCTTTTAGAGGTTACATATCTCTTTTAGATAGCATTTAAGGGGTTATATCCACTTGAAATTTTCAAAAATCGATTTATTTTTGCATATATATCGAATTCACATATAATTGAGAATATTCTCTATAAATTTTGAAATTGTTTTTTCAAATAGTTTCGGTGTTATGAACGTATTTGCAATAATTTTTTAACTTAGCCTAATCGGCCCCAAATCCTTTTATTGGGGGTGTTTCTCGAAATGTTGCTTTCAGAGTTGGTGAGTAAAATTTTCCTTCAACGGCTGGACCCATCGACTTGAAATTTTCACATGCACTTCTTTGATATATTTGTCAGTTAATAGTCGAAGAAACAAGATATTTCATAATAATTTCGATCTTTTTTAATGTACTATGAAATATAAATTTATTCACAATATACGACTTTTTCGGGAAGCCGTCATTTTGTCAAAATTTAAACTTTTGACTAGTCTCTCGATCATTACCTGTATTTGCCTACAGTAATCATACATTTTTTTGACTTTTGTATTTCCTTCATTTACAAATGTTTCTCGCCGCCAGGCACCTCTTTTATATAAATTCATATTTCTTATATATTTATTTGATAAAATGTCTTTTTCAAAAAAGTTCACAAACACGTTCTTTTCAGATTTGCATATTGATATAACCCCTTAATGTAGCGGAGCGCCTTCTGTTCATATTTATTTATTGGATAAACATATGGTATAGGAAGTTAGATGTTATAAGCAACCAGTAGATGTACAAAACAGTTGTACTCTAAACAAAATGGTGCACTGATATAAAAATATACACTTACAATAATTTATACCTCCACTGAGTGCTTAGTGCTTTTAGGTCTTCTTACGCCGATCTCGTACATTATGAGTGCATAAGGCCTTTTAAAATCACTTTGAGAAACGCTTAACTAGCCCTTGTGGTTAAAGCTAAACATTAACTATATATTACATATAAATGCTGGGTCTCAAGATAGGTGATGGTTTTGCGAATAGTACGCTCAGCAGGCCGATTACGTTGATAATATATATATTTATGTTAATGTTGAGTCGAGCTAATGATCCGTCATGTACACTAAGATTAACGCTAATTTTTATTATTTACTATCAGCTTAATACTAAATTAAATGTAACACAGAAGTCTTCACTGTATTGGTTTATTGGGTTTTGTTTACATATGTGAGAATATCACTTATATGCTAAGTGTCTATGTGTCTGTGCCTAAGTGGCTAAGTTTTAAGATTGAAATTTGAGTGGATGCGCAATATCGAATATTTTCAAGATAAAATCCACTTATGGATTACATATATTACATATATATAAACCGTTACTTGTTTATAATAGATAGTAATAACTCAGCGCGAATTGATAAAACACACCAAAGAAGCATTTCCCGCAAAAAAATGTGAAAAGGGTCGTAAGCTGCGATTTCACTTGTGTGTACCACTCAAGTAAGACTTTAGGCAAACACATACATATGCAAATGCGTTTGAGTGCAAAGTAAATGAGTTGAAAAGGTAAATTTAAATAAATGCGAGCGATTGTGCGCTGACGTTGGTGTGTGCAAATAGAAGTTGGTGTACCGCAAGAAATTACCAATACACATGTGTGAATGCGTTACCCAAGCATTTTCAGCAAAAAGCGCGTATGTTGATAAAACGAGTTTTGCATACAAATCGCATTGGACGTTTTCAATCAACTAAAATGGAAAAATATTCGCAAAACTTAAGGCATTCGGGAGCGAGTGACGCAAACGTGTCACGCTCAAGTTCCAAAATTTTTTTATAAAAGCTCAGTTTTTGTTGCTTTGAATGCAAAAATTCAAAGGCAATTCACTTAGTTTTGTCTTGCTAAAGGTAGAGAAATATGTGTTTGCACATACTGGCATAAGGAATTGTTTGCAATTTGGTATGGCTGTATGGTTGCTGTATTGGTGTATATGTAAGCGCTTGTAAATATTTGTAGTCGCCCACATGAACTAAAAGCAAAGCGCTTCAAATATTTGCATATTACTCAGTGTGTGTTATGACAAATAACTGTAAAATGCATATGTGTTTGTGAGTGTTGACACAATTTAAACGCACAAAATGCGCGTGCGACAGGTCGTATGAGCGACACTTGGCTGTGATTGCCCACGAATGTGCCAATTGTGGCGTTTGTTTAATACAAAACGCATTTGCATTTATTTACATATTTTAATGTTCATATGCTGTTTGATTTAGTTCCTTTTTAGATATGGGGGCTGCCGAGAGTTTTCACCAAATATATTTCAGCAATATGTGGTATTTCAGGTTTTTAACTCATTTGC